GTGGGCTCTGGTGTCAGGAGGAAGGGCTGATGGGTAGGGGGCTGCTTTGTAAACTGTAGAGTGGGCTCTGGTGTCAGGAGGACTGCTTGCACACTGTAACATGCAGTCTGGTGCTGGGAGCCCCTCCCTGGAGTCACCGACACCCCGTCCCTGTTGTGCCCCCAGAACCTCCACAAACTTCCCAGCCCCAGCTGGCCTGGCTGCTGCTACCCTTACTGCTGTTCGCCGGGCTCCTCCTCTTTGCCGCCTACTTCTTCAGGTAGGAGTGTCCTGACTTACCCAGAGGAGCAGAGTTGAGAGGAAGTGAGCCACTCAGCTGGCGGGCGGGCGGTGGGGAGCCAGTGTGGCCGCGAGGGTCACTCAGCCATGGGCAGCAGGAAGAGCTTCTCCAGGCTCAGCTGGTGGGTAGCCCGTACCCGTAGCGCTGTACCCGGCTCCCTGGACACTAGGCTTGCTGACACCTAACCGTTTTTGTACCCCCTAGGTTCCGGAAGCAGCGGAAGGCTGTGGTCAGCTCCAACGACAAGAAGATGCCCAACGGTATTCTTGAGGAGCAAGGTGCGTCCCCAGTTCCCCCCACCCCACCCCGGGTTCCTTTCCTTTAGACGTTGGGCTCCTTTAGAGCTGGGTTTGGAATTCCTTTGTACCTGTGATCATGTCTTACCTGGTCTGGTCTGAAGTTTCTCACAGCCTCACACCAAGGCTACTTTTCTCGGTGGGGTGACAGGACTTAGAGAGAGGTTCCTTTGCAGTGTCTCTAGACGCTGTTTCATATCCTGTTGTTTGTGTTTTAAATCGTCCTCAGATTAGACAGCTCATCACAGGAAGTGCTCATCTTAAAACCCTACTGTATTGAGATCAAAGCCTTTGGCTCTCGGAATGAATTTGCCATTTACAGGAGAATAGAGTGTGTGGGGAGACCCTGGTGGCGCTATGGTTAGAGTGCTCTGCTGTTAACCAAAGGGTCCGTGTGGTTTGAACCCATGAGCCCCTCCCAGGGAAACAGATGAGGCAGTCGGCTTCTCTGAACGTGCTCAGTCTTGGAAACCCTCCGGGGCAGTTCTATTCTGCCCTGTAGTGTCTAGGAGTCAGAATCAGCTTGGCAGCAGTAGGTTTTTAGAATTGGTAGGGAGGCTCTGAGGGGTGCAAATCGCTACTGACCAAAAGGTCAGCAGTTCAAATCCACTCACAGTACCTCGGAAGAAAGTCCTGGTGATCTGCTGCCAAATATCAACCATTGAATACCCGGAACACTCGAGTCGGAATGTACTTTATGGTTGGTTAGAGTCGGCAGGAGCGTTTCCAACTTGCCTCTCAGTATGTGAGTTCAGTTATCGTTGCTGTTACGTGCCGTCGAGTCGGTTCCAACTCATAGCAACCCTGTGTTAGATCTCCAAGGCTGCAGATATTCATGAGAGCAAAAAGCCTCACCTCTCTCCCTCGGAGAAGCTGGTGGGTTCAAAGCACCGACGTTGTGATTTGCAGTCCCCTAAGTTCAGTTGTTGTTGTTGTTAAGTACTGCCCAGTTAGTTCTGACTCATAACAACTCTGCATAATGTTTCCAAGGAGTGGCTGGTGAGTTTGAGCCACAGACCTTGCAGTTCAAACAGACTTTACAGTCCAGTGCTTATCCTACAGTGCCACACCAGGACTCCTGAGTTCAGGTGTTGTGAAGTGCCATCGAGTTGGTTCTGACTCGTAGCGACCCTGTATAGGGTTTGTGAGGAGCGCCTGGTTCGAACTGTCCTTGAGGTCCAGTGTTTTTCCTTTGGCATTCAGTTAGTACCTTGCTGATGCCGCTTCCAGAAACATGTTGTGTGTTCTAACACGTGAGACCCTTGAGGAAGATGTGTGGTAGACACCTAAAAACAGCGCTGACATCCGACTACAGCCTCCTGGGGTCCGCCTTCAACTGTAAGGGAGGAATGAGAAAAGTCACACTGGACCCCAAGGAGACCCAGGCCTAGGAGATCCCGGACAGGAAGATGGACTTTGTGGTGCTCAGAGGACCCCTCCCCATGACCTATCTGCCTGGCCTACATGCTGAGGGAATCAGGAGTGTCTAGGGAGGGGTCTCTGGGAGAAGTGGCATGTGGGGTGACCTCCGGCTGAGCCCCAGAGGACTGGTCAGTGGGAGCAGGCCTGTCTGCCAGTGTGGCAACCGAGTGGACATGCTGACCTGAGCAATAAAGCCCCTGTGGCTTTCTCCTGTCTTGATCCTCCTTCAGCCTCATTTTAGGGAAGCAGTCCTTCAGGACGCCCCCAGAACCCCACCCTTCTCCTTTTCAACACCCGCATCCCATCCCCCTCGAACAAGGTTGGTTTCTTTCCTTTGCCCTGGCAGCTCACTGGGTTTGAATGACCTCAGGGGCCTCACATCCTAACTGACCTCACGTTATTCTGCAGCTCTCACTGAGAACCCTATCATTAAATCCCATTAAATCCGTTACCGTGCCTTCTGACTCATGCCATCGGTGTGTGTCATACATAGTAGAGCTGCTCCCTTGGTTTTCAATGGCTCACTATGTGATTAGTCCTCAGTGGATCGCCAGGCCTTTCTTCCTAGATACTTCTGGGTGGACTCCACTCTTCAAGCATTCAGTTAGCAACCGGGCATGTTAACAGGAACCCCCAACTACAATTCTTGTTGTTAGTTACCCTCAAGACGGTTTCAATTCATGGCAACCCCATGTGTGTCGAGTTGTTTGTTGTATAGAGTGGCTGGTGGGTTTGAACTGACAGCCTTGTGGTTAGCACTCCAGCGCTTATCTTACAGTGCCATGTGTGGAGTAGAACTGGGTTTTCAAGGCCATAACCTTTCAGAAGTAGATCACAAGCCTACCTTCCAAGGCTCCTCTGGGTGGGTTTGAACTACCAACCTTTCTGCTGGTGCTACCCAGGGACCCACCTATGATTATTTCTTCTGTTTTCAAGACTGGAGTTCTGAGCTTGAAGTCGCCTTCTGTCATCTGTGGAGGGTCAGGGTGAGGGGAGGAGGGCTGGGCAGGTTAGGCTGGGGCTGAGAGGGCAGGTCCAACAGGGGGGGGTGCGGGGGGGCTCTGGTCTCAGTTGTTCTCACCTACATGACCTGAGCTCAGGGACGCTCCCTCCAGCCGAGTTACTTCTTCTGGAATGTTCTGGTTACTGGGCTCTTTGTCCGACTTTGTGGCTAAGCGGCCCATGCCCATGTCTCTCTGGTCCCACAGAGCAGCAGCGAGTGATGCTTCTGAGCCGGTCACCCTCGGGGCCCAAGAAGTACTTCCCTATCCCTGTGGAGTACCTGGAGGAGGAGATCCGGGCACGCTCTGCCGATGACTGCAAACGCTTCCGTGAAGAGTTCAACGTGAGTCAGGGGCAGGACGGGACGGGGTTGGGGGAGGGGATCTCTGTGTTCTTGGTGGTGGAGGAACTGCAAAGTATGGTGTCATAGTTCAGAATCCATGATTCCAAAGTCTCAACCCTGCCCCAGAGACCTCACCATCCTGAAACCAGAGACAAGGAAGTCTGTACAAAAGGGGACGACTGAGTCAGTTTCTCGTGTACACCATCTGGCACTGTGGGTTAATGCGCTAGACTGCAAAGTTGCTTTGAACCCGCAAGATCAGTGGTTCAAACTCACCAGCCACTCCTCAGAAATCCTATACTGGATTGCTATGGGTCAGAATCCACTCGACAACGACAATAGGACGGTTCAGAGAAGGGAGAAGACTCTGGACATGGTTCAGGCTGTGAGCAGTGGGCCCCCCAAACCTCCTGGGAAACTGGTGACCTACATGGAGTGGGATTACCCCTCCTCTGCACCCCATCCCAGCATCGATGTAACGATCGTGGATGTGGGCTGCCAGAGGGCAGCACTGGGTGTGTGCTGGGCATGTGAGTGTCCTCAAGGCTTGTTCCCACGGTGCTTGGTGGTTCCACCATCAGCTCTTCGACAGAACCGCTAATGACAGCTGGCTGGTCTGCTGTGGACACCTGTGTCTCCTTCATTCACGCCCAAACAACAGAGCCCTGGTCTAGCGCTGCAGGATAATGTACTGAACCACAAGGTCGTTTGAACTGCAAGGTCCGTGGTTCAAACCCACCAGTCACTCCTCAGATACCCTATACAGGGTCGCTATGAGTCGGAACCAACTCCATGGCATTTATCAACAACAAAATAGGACGTTAAATACAATTTTACACAGCCAGTGGGAGCATCATGAATGCACGTTTGTACTCTCTGTACATATTTGTAGTTGTTAATTGCCGTATAGGGTTTCTGAAGTCAAGTGCTTATCCTATGGTGCTGTGAAACTGTTATGTGTACTATAAACATGTTTATGATACAAATCTGTTATCTATATTATAAATACATGTATGTATAATTAGACAATGGAGTCCTGGTGTGTATACACACATATATACATTATCTGTTATGTTTGTTGTTGTTAAGTGCCATCGAGTAGGTTCCGACTCATAGCGACCCTGTATAGGGTTTCCGAGGAGCGGCTGGTGAGTTTGAACCCACTGACTTTGAGGTTCATGGTTTCTCCTATAGTGCCACACTAGGACTCCATGAATCTGTTATATGTATTATAAATGTTGTAAATATATGTATGATGTCAGTGTTTGTTGTTAAGTGCTGTCACGTCTGTTCCAACTCACAGCGACCCTGCCTAGGGTTTCTGAAGCTGTAAAGTTTTGTGAGAACAGAAAGCCTCATCTTTCTCCTGCAGGGCAATTTGTGGGCTCAAAGTGCCAACCCAGTGGTTATTCTATGGAGCCACCATGCTCCCCAAATATGTGTATGTTAATGTGTCTAATAATACAAGAGGGATTTAAAAGTTCAGGGGAAAATTCCATCATCTTTTAATTCCATTTTACCACAGACTTTTCGAAGCCCCCTCACACACATGAATCTGTTGCATGTATGATCAATTCTTATATACAAAGAACAGATTCACAATTCATCAAACATTAAAATGTGTATGCCTACCTACACACCTGGAACCTACCTACACACTGCAGGATAATGCGATGGACCACAAGGCCAGTTTAAACCACAAAGTCAACAGGTTCAAACCCACCAGCTGCTCCTCGGAAATCCTATACAAGGTTGCTATGAGTTGGAACTGACTCGACAGCATGTCACAACAACAACCTACACACTGTCCCGGACTGATCTTGGATGATGTTTTCGTTTTTAGAAGTTGTGTGTCTATAATTCAGAGGCACTCATGGGGTGCTAAAATCACCTCCATGCTTTTCCGGATTCTTGCGCCCCCACCAAGAGGAACTCACTACGCAAGAACTTCCCCTTTTCCCTCCCTCCAGCTCTGGTAACCAACAAGCCTCGGTTTCCATACAGAGCAGTGGAATCAGGCAATAGCTGCCCTCCTGTGACTGTCTTGTTTCACATACATCATAGCTCTGGGTTCTAGATATTGTCAAGATCCAGTTTCTCTCTAGGGCCCACTAATGTGCGGTGTTCCAGAGGGTAGGCACTGGATTACAAGCCAGGGTCATGGCTGTGAGCCCACCAGCTGCTCCTCAGGAGAACACCATTGCCACAAAGAGCCAAAGGCTCGGGAACCCTATGTAGGGTCACTATGAGTCAGAACTGACTCGACAGCACTTAACAACAGCTAGACCACATTGTGTGGCTAGACCACACTGTGCTTCTCTTCATGGACTGGCCTTTGAGTTGTGTTCGTGCATCTTCATCTTTTTGCACTTGCTGAGTGTGGGGTATGAAGGAGGATGGGGTTTCCAGCAGAAGATTGGCTTTCACCGGGTTCTGCCTCTTGTCCCGAGCCTGATTCCCTCAGCCCACCCCTCTGGACTCTTGTTCATCATCTGTGAAGCGGGATGTAATCGGTGCCTGTCTTAGTTACCTCATGGTCTGAATGTGAACCTCAGATAGTGGACTTTATGAAGAGCGATGAGCTGTGTTATTAGGAATCCTCATGGCACAGTGATTAAAGAATTACGCTGCTCACTGAAAGGTTCAAATCCACCAGAGACTACGAGGAAGAGAGATGAGGCCGTCTGCTTCTGTAAAGGCGGCAGCCTCCGAAACCCGTGGGGCAGCTCCACTCTATCCCATAGGGTCGCTGTGAGCCAGAATCGACTTCATGGCAGCGGGTTTTAAAGACGGAGGATCTGGTTGCAGACAGGATCTGTACAGAGGCCCCTGCAGACACAGGAAGGATGGTGCCGCCTTTAAGCTGCACATTGCTTGTATTTTAACACAAGCCCCAATCTGCCTTTATGAGGCTTCCTTTTCGTTGCTTCCAAATATGTTCCTGTTTTGTTGAAAACTTAAGTCATACTGAGAGGCAGCGCCATGCAGGGGTATTGCGCAATCTCGTAGCCAGGTTCAGAGAGTTTGAATTCTCCATTTCCCTCCTAGCCCCGGCTCCCCTATCACATGGATTCTCCATGTGGAGACAGGCCACTGGGCTGGGCATGCTGGAGCTGGGCTGAGTCAGGCAAACCACAGGGGTGTGGGCAACCCCAAAGGCGAGCAGGGCCAGGGTGAGGCCAGTGACACGCTCGCCTGGGGCACCCGAAAAAGGTTCCGTAGGGATAAATAATGTTTTAGTACAACATTTAAAAGTATCAAAAGTAGTCATTTTCTCAAAAAGTTAAACATGGAAATACCATATTGTTATTATTAGATCCCTTCAAGTCAGTTCTGACTTGTAGCAACCCAAAGTACAGCAGAGCAAAACATCCGCACAATCTTGATTATCTGAAGCCACCATATTAATCCATCTCGTTAGGGGTCTTCCTCTCTTCTGCTGACCCTCCGCTTTACCAAGCATGATGTCCTTCTCTAAAGACTGGTCCCTCCTGACAGCATGTCCAAAGTATGAGAAGGCTTCAAAAAATTTGTAGAAAATGGAATTAAAAGATAATGGACTCTTTGCATGAACTTGTGGAAACTCCCCAGGTATATGAGACAAAGTCTCACCATCCTCACTTCTAAGGAACATCCCAGTTATACTTCTTCTAAGACAGAACTACCATGGTGATGGTGGTGGTGATGTGCCGTGGAGTCGGTTCTGACTCATAGCGACCCTGTGCAGGGTTTCCAAGGAGCAGCTGGTGAGCTTGGACTGCTGACTTTGCAGTTCAAAAGACTTTGCACTCTGACGCATTAACCCACAGCGCCACACCAGGACTCCTAGAGCTGAGGTCCTAGCAGTGAGAAAATGGAGGCGGGCAGCCGGGACAACCACGGCCAATGTATTGGAGGCAGTGTAGGGGCTGCTGGTCCAAAGAGTATGCAGCTTAGGATGTAATCTAAATTCCCTTCATCCTGCACCCCATCTAATACCCCCTTATCCCACACAACTGCCTATTCCTCTAACTTAGTCCTAGTATGAGTCAGGACCTGGGTTCTCCAGGGGCCATGGTGGGAGAGCAGGGCTGGGCCTTCCTTCATGCAACTCAGGGTCCAGCTCCTGGAAACGGTCATTTGTCCACACATCTGTGGGCCCCAGAGACATAGAGCTCAGAGGGACAGCGGTCAGCATCTCCTTCGTCTTTGTACCTGGTCCTGGATTCTGGGTCCTGGAGCCGAGTCCAGGGCAGCCAGGCGGATGGACAGAGGTGGTTTATCCAGAGCTAGCTTTCTTGGTCCCACCCTAGGTAGGTAGGAGCTGGTAGAACCATTGTGTTTGGGTCCAAATTTGAGCTACCTTTCCGTTTTCTTCCAGTCGTTACCATCCGGACACATACAAGGAACTTTCGAGCTGGCAAATAAAGAAGAAAACAGAGAGAAAAACAGATATCCCAACATTCTTCCTAGTAAGATGTCCACTTTTCTGCATGATTGGGGCTTTCGACTAACGGGTTTTGCCTTGCAGCTTCCTGTGACCGTGTGTATAGTGAGTGTTCTGGGGCTCAGGACCTGTCCCCTGCATGGACATCACTGGTCACCATTTGTACCTGGTCCTTGGTGGCCAGGTATCCTGCTCTGCTTCTGTGCTGTGGGGACCTGGGCAGCCCCGGTGCTGGACAAGTGGGCAGGGCTGGGCGAGGCCGAGGCCATCATGTTGCCTGGAAGTGTTCCTGGTTCAGGCTCAGTGAGCTTAGCCTAGAAATGACAGGAAACCCACATGGAGGTTCTGTAGGTTAGTGGAGAGTTAGAGTCAACCTGATTGGACCACAGCAGCAAAAAGGGGCGGGGAAGGGGTCAGTGTGGTGGTGGCCCAGCTTCCTCAGTGCCTGGACAAGCACTGTGGGTTCCAAGCTGTGAGACCCACAGGGAGCTGGACATGACCACCCAGCCTGGACCCACCAGGCCTAACACCAAGCAGTCCTACAGGGCTCCCCCAGATTCATCTGACTCCCAGTCCTGGGTCCCCCTTTCTCTCCAGAGACCCTCCCCTCTTGGGCAGCTCTTGGTGGGCGTGAGGCACCCAGGGAAAGCAGTTCAGTGTGTTTGTTCCTGGCTGTGTTTTTAGGGTCAGAACTGAGTTCATTTACCCCGTGTTGGAAAGAGACTGGTAGATTTGCATGGTTTCCTCTCCCAGATCAGAGAAAGTTCATGTCAGATCTATGAGTGGGTTTATAAAACCTGCCCTGAGCCTGTGATCCCATTAAAACTGGAGAAATGAATCCAAAGCCCTCTCACTATGGGGCAGAGAGTGGCTAGGATAAACCAGCTGGAAGACCCCGTGGAGGCCTCTCGAGCTGGGAGCGGGCGCAGAGCAGTGATTAGGTTCTGGACCCATTTTGAAGAGAACTCCATAGGATTCGTTGCGAGACTGATGTGGAGTCTCAGACAAGTGGCTTATTGTGTGGCTTGAACACGTAGAACGATGGAAAAATCATGATAGGAGAAGGTCCTTGAAACCGATGTGTCCAAAAAAAGGAGATATTTGAAAAGTCACATGAGTTGGTATTTGATTGATTTGTATGTTTAATTAATCAGTGTGATTTAGTCATTGATTCTTATGTATGAGGAAGCTTCAAAAAGTTCGTGGAAAAATGGAATTAAAAGATATTGGAATTTTACCACAAACTTTTTTTTTTTTAGAGGCTGTTGAAAATACCATGACTTGGGTCAGACACACCTTAGTCCTCAGACTGTTATCTTTACTCTTTGACGCATTAAAGAGGTCTTGTGCAGCAGACGTACATAGTGCAATATGTCGTTCGATTTCTTGACTGCTGCTTCCGTGAGTGTTGATTTTGAATCCAAGCAAAATGAAACCTTTGACAACTTCAATCTTTTCTCCATTTATCATGATGCTGTTTATTGGTCCAGTGGTGAGGATTTTTGTTTTCTTTACATTGGTGCAACCCACACCGAAGGCTGTGGTCTTTGATCTTCATCAGCAAGGACTTTAAGTCCACTTTAATTCCAGCATGCAAGGTTGTGTCATCGGCATATCGCAGGTTGTTAATGAGTGTTTCCTCCAATCCTGATGCCATGTTCTTCTTCAGATAATCCAGCTTCTCAGATTCTTTGCTCAGTGTACAGGTTGAATAAGTATGGTGAAAAGATACAACCCTGGTGCCACCCAAAACCCACTGCCACAGAGCCAAGTTCGACTCATGTTGTTGTTGTTAAGTACCTTGGAGTCGGTTCCGACTCATAGCAACCCTGCACAGAGTTTCAGAGGCTGTAACTCTTTATGGGAGCAGAAAGCCTCATCTTTCTCCTGCAGAACAGCTGGTAGTTTCGAACTGCTGACCTTGAGGTTCACAGCCTGATTCATAACCACTACGCTACCAGAGTGGCCCCTTATAGAATTTTCGTAAATCTTTATGGGAGCAGACAGTCGCGACTTTTTCTTGCAGAGCGACTGGTGGGTTTGAACCATCGAACTTGCAGTTTGCAGCCTAATCAATACCTCACACCAGAGTAATAGAATTGTGCTATGATTCTGAACAAGCATTTCCACCCGTCCACCCACCCCACCCCCATGGTCAGCTCCTCTCCTCTGAGGATCGATGTACCATGTCACAGGGTTAGGGCCTTGCCAAGTGGGCTGCTGCTGCAGCCGTGGTATGTCGGCACTCGGGACGAGAGCTGCACCCTTGTCATGGTCAGCTGTGGACACCTGGGGTCTGGCTTCAGGAAGAAGCAAGGCCAAACTAGCTGTCTTAGATTCAACTGAGCTGTGGCCAGCGAGGCCCAGGCAAAGGCTGTCTCTCAATAGAAGGGGCTGGTTTGGGGGCCTGGGATCTGAGCCCACGTCCCGGCTCTCCTACTCAGGGGGTGAGAGCCCCTACTTTTGTACAGCAGGGGAGAGCCACACACACACACTCTGTGCACACCTCAAGCTACAAGGTGCCCCAGGACCTTGGAATGCAGCTGTGTGTGCCCCGGTCACCCTCAGGGTGTCTGGGGGGCTGGACTTTGCCTATAGACAGACCTCCTGGTAGGTTTGAGAAAACGCCCTCTTTTCTGGAAATGTGCCCAAGACTGGCCAGTTGTTTTAGGAAATCATGTTTTGTAAGTGAAGTGTGACTTTTGAGAACAAGTTGACAGGAAGTTCGGAGAGATGGCAGAATCTAAATCTAACCAGAAGCTATTTTTGCCCTCCGTGTTTCTATAGCTGTCTTCTGAGCGCAAATTGTTTCAAATTCTACTCACCCGTTTTGCGGTGCTCAGCAAGAGCTATTTCTGCCCGGGGCTCTGAGCTCCAGCAGAGCGGCTCAGGCCGGTCCTCAGAGGCCAGGAAGCCTGGGGCTGAGCCCTGCTGGGCAGTGACCGTCCCCAGGAATGTGCCAGCCCCTTCTGCCAGGACAGACATGGTCCAACAAGACCATAGCCAGGTAATGGCTAGCTGAGGTCCCCCAAATTCACACACTGACACCCACACCTATACATGTGTTCCCACACATACTCACACACACTTATACACATGTTCACACATATACTCACACACTCATACACACTCATACCACATTCACACTGTTCATACACACAGTTATAAACACACTTACCCACACACTTATGCACATGTTCCCACACATACTCACGAACACACATACCCCCACCCACTCTCACAGACACACTCACACATATACACATGAACTCATACCTCATTCTCACAGTTCATACACATATTTACAAACACACACTCACACACATTCACACAGTTCTCACACACTCAACACATATTCACATACTCACTCGCTCTAGTGTTCGGACAGCTGTGCACACTCGTGTATACACACTCACACACACACTCTCATACCACATTCACATTCATAGTTACAAACACGTTCTCATACTTACCTGCTCTCCTACATGTTTGTGCAACTGTGCATACTGATGTATACACCCTGTGACCACATTCACACACACTCATACACACACTGACATACCCAAACTCAAACCCACATTCACACAATTCACACACACACACACTCAAAGTTACAAATGTACACTCATATACTTGTCCACTGTCATACACCTAAACACACCCACACATACTCCCATGGACTGTCATACTACATTCACACAGTTCACACACACTCATAAACACTCACAGACGCATGTTCACACAATTCACACACTCACTCATGCCAACATTTGCACAATCCCACACACTTACATACTCACACACAAGCACACAGGACACACAAACTGCACATGTTCAGACGCACACATGCACAGGGCTCTGTGGTCAGCAGTCCCAAGTGGGGAAAACACCCCTGTACCTGTCCAGAATCTTCCAGGATGAGGCCAGCTTCCCTTGCAGCTCTAGAGGTGGACTGTGGAGGGTCCAGAGGCTCCGCCGTTTCCCGGGGAGCCTGGGTGGTGGACTGGCCCCAGGTCTTCTGCCTGAGATCTCCCTGAGTGCACCCCCCGGGGCCAACACCGGACCCCCACATAGGGTTCAGAGAACACGGCCATCGGACTCAAGGAGCCCCAGTCAGTCAGCTTCTCTGTGATAACAGCTCCCTCACCTTGCCACTGGGTTCTTGCCTGTGTTGTCTGTTCGGAAAATTTGAGCAATTGTTTAATGTAATTGGTGTAAACATTGACAGAGCCAGGTGGGTTTTCCATTCGATGAATCAGACTATTTTGTTTCGTGACACTGACTGCTGTCCCCACAATGTAAGAGCACATTCCCACTGCCCCCCTGTGTGGACCACTTCCATCCCTCCTCCTCTCATCCCATGCTCCCTTCTGAGCTTAGCCCTGGGTGCTGCCTTTCTGTTAATGGAGAGTTGGTTGCTCTAAGGCGTGGGGGCCTTCCTGATGAGATTGTTCATCTTAGAGGCTTGCCGAGTGGTTGCGAGTTCAGCCAGAGGGAAAGTTCAGTTCCAGACTCGAAGGGCCAAAGTCTCAGTGTTCCCCCCACCTCCTTCAGACCAGTAACCCTGGTCTTTTGTATGATTTTGAGTTTTGTTTCGCATTTTCTCCCACTCTGTCCAGGACACCATATTGAGATCGCTTTCAGAGCCTCGCAGGGGTGGTCGGGCACCATCTAGTTCCTCTGGTCTCAGGTCTTAGAAAGCACCCTTCCTCTCCTGAAGCTAAAATACAGTGGTCAGCAGAAAGATCCTGTCCTTGGGACACTGATAGTCTGGACTAAGGTGCTCCAGCAGGGTGTCTCTAGGTCCCCATGACCATTACAGAAGGACAGAAGGACTGTCTCAATGCTCCACACTTCAGAGCCAGGGTGAGGGACGTCCAGCCTTTGGGCCACTTCAGGCCCTGGAAATCATGTGGTCTTGTCTTGCCAAGGCAACTGCAGTTCCAGCCATCACATTAGGGGTGAGTTAATGCAACGTTTGACCAAATATAGCAGTTGATATTTTTGTATGGACCACAAATGATATTATAAATATCCAAATGGCCCTTGGCAGAATAAAGGTTCCTGACCCCTGCTGTAGATGAATTACCGGGCAGATATGATCTACTCAGCCTAACGCCAGAACTCTTCTCTTCCCAGATGATCATTCCAGGGTGATTTTGAGCCAAGTGGATGGAATTTCCTGTTCAGACTACGTTAATGCTTCGTACATAGATGTAAGTCCCCAGGTTTTCATTCCTCTGCCCAGCACGAAGCACACATGAGGACCCTTGGATGTGGGCTGTAACTATGAGCAGATGTAAAAAGTGTCTTAACTTTTCTGGGAGGTTAGGCCACAGGCACCAGGACCATAAGAAAAGCCCACACCCTTCCATCTGCATGTAGGAATTGGTTTCCAGAGGCCCACAGAGATGTTGATTACAGCATTGTTTATATTTCTGTCAAAACTGAGTGCAGAGAACAAATTAAACAAATTAAGATAAAACCACATGCAGTGGAGAAAAAAGAATTCATTTTTATTGAACTTTAAAAGATGATTGAATATAAATCCCAGAATTCCAATTAAAAAAAAAAAAAAATAGGACATGAGAGTATTTTTGCACCTGAGCCCAATTACAAGTATGTCAATGTCTGTGTGTTTGCTTGTGTGCGTGTATCTGGGAAGGAACCCAAGGATAAAGATGTAAGAAACAACAGACTGAAGGAGAATTTGTTATTTCTGATGTCACTGGCGAGTTTTTTCTTGTCTTTTACTTGTTTCTATATTTTTTGCCAATTTCTCCCTAATGATGAAGACTATAGATCCATTTTCTGATGTCTTTTTTTTTTTTTCCTTTCAGCCAAGATGATTAGGAAAAAAATGTAAATTTGATTTTCTTTCTCTAGGGTTACAAAGAAAAGAATAAATTCATAGCAGCTCAAGGTAAGCTTGATATTGAGTTAACTTCTGAACATTGCTTTGGTACCATGACACAGACGGGTTTTGTCACCTTCTGGGACACTAGCAAAATCAAGGATTTATATCTGCTCTTTTGTACATCTGCCCGCTGCTACATATCAAAGGGAGCTTCAAAAAGTTTGTGGGAAAATTCCATTGTCTTTTTTTTTTTTTAACTTTTTATTGTGTGTTGAGTGATAGTTTATGTTACATGGGAGTACATCGGTTTTACACTCACCATTTCATTGCAGTTATTACAGTCCCCTCCATGCATCATCATTCAACAATATTTGCTTCTGTTCCCTCTGGGTTTTTTTGTTTAGTTTTGGTTTTTGCTTTCTTTTGGCAGGGGATGTGCACAGAAACACTCAGGAATATATAATAATTAAAAAACCAAGGGGCACATTCTGCAAGGCCTGCCTCCTGGCCGCCAGCACACAGCCTTTCTCTTCCCATGAGTCTAGAGTCCTCAGCTGCTCCCTCTCTCCATGTCATCATCTCTGCCTCCATCTCTGGTGTCGCTGCTTCTCTGGATAGAGTCCCATATTCTGTTCATGCTCTTCTTCCTTGATGGTCCTAAGGGCCTTCTGTTCCTGGAATGTAAGATTAACTACTCCCCGCTTTATGTTACAAAACTTCTACCTTTACAGTTGTGACTGTTGCAATTAGTCATGATGACAATTACTCACTATTGAATCATAAGAATCTTCTCCCCATCTCTTTTCACCAGACCTGTCTACACAAGATGAAAACGATTCAGTGGGAAAATTCCATTGTCTTTTAATTCCATTTTTCCATGACCCTTCTGAAGCTCCCTACTATGCCACTTGATTACCATTGGCTGAAGCTTCTGTCTGTACGCTCAAGGAAACCAGAGACACTGCCCATCTTATGATCATGGGTCCCTGATCTGGGAGCAGCAGTGTCCCCTGGGTTGGGTCTCAGGCCCACCCTGGAGTCTACAGTGTAACAAGGCTCCCTAAGGGGATTTGTATGCTCCTAAAAGTTGAGGCAGGACTGAAACCTGAGATGATGCCAGTCTCCCCACAAAGAGGACTTCAGAAGCATGGAGAAGGGCAGGGAGAGTGGGGTGGGTCCATGGATGCATCCAAGTCAGTAGACAAGTGTGAGGTGCATCCATGGACATATGTGTAGACGTACATATAGGACACTCGGTGGCCCACGAGTGCTTTAACGCAGCTTTGCAGAGGCAGGACAGGTGTGTGTTTTGCTCTGGGATAGATTTGAAGAGCAAAATCCTGAAATATGGAGGTCTCTGTCTTCTGTCTCACACACATGCACACACACGTGTGTGGACTTCTATACCACATGTGCTATACATGCACACATGCTGTGCATGAACTTGTATGCATGCACACACCTGTGTGGGCACATGTACATGCATGCACGTTGTACTTATGTGTCTTGTACATGTGGTGTGTGTGTGTACACGTGTCTTTGTATATGCCCACATGTGAGCACATGCGTCTGTATTCACACACACGTGAGCATGTGCATGGGCCTCTGTATGTGTGTCATAATGGCACATATGTGCATAAACTTTGTGTGTGTGCTCACATGTATACTTGTGTGCCCTGTACGTGTGTTCTCTGTGCGTACATGTATTTGCATGTGTGCACATGTGTCTATATTCGCATACACACATGTGCATGTGAGTGTCTGTGTGTGTCATGTGTGCACACATGTGCCTGAACTTGCACACCTGTGTGCCCATGTGTGCATGTGTACACGTGTGCACATGTGTATTTATTATCTTGTACATGTGTGGGTACGTGTATGTGGACATGTGTGTGCATGTGCACAACCGTTGTGAGTCAGTGCTGGTGGAGTGGCATCTAGATCAACCACAAACAGGTTGATTCATAGCTTCAGAAACTCTGATCTGAACAAACCTCATTCCCTCTGGTGGAATAACCCAAACAGGGGGCAGTGCCCTGGCTTCCGGGTTGGTGTGGCACTTTGCGGGACTGGGTCCCAGACTCCTCTTCTTGTTCTGACTTCAGGATTATCCTCTTGGCAGGTCCAAAACAGGAAACCGTGAATGATTTTTGGAGAATGATCTGGGAGCAAAAGTCAGCAACCATCGTCATGTTGACAAATCTAAAAGAAAGGAAAGAGGTGAGTCTCGGCCCTTCTGACTCATCAGCTGGTTTCCTCTTAGCTGCGGTTGAAGGGGGGTTCTGACCACTTCCTTTTCCTACTTCCCTGCCTTCTTATCACTGTAGGAGAAAACAGACAGCACTCAGTGGCTTACAAAGTCTTTACCTTGAAATCAATCCGCTGGATTCTTCATCCAACCCTGGGGTCTGCCAATACAAACGTGATACAGAGATTATTGTTTCTATTGGGGGGCGGGGGCTCCTGACTACCTAGCCCACCGCCAGCTCTAACTCCATGCTTGCAGGCATGGATTTGGGGGTGGGGTAGGCACAGTCATGTGGTGGACATCAGACTGTATAGAAATCATTTACTGCTTCTTATGTATCGCACTGTGGGCTGATGCGCCAGACTGTAAAGTCGTTTGAACTGCAAGGTTGGTGGTTCAAGCTCACCAGCTGCTCCTTGGAAACTCTATAAAGGGTCTCTATGGGTCGGAATCGACTCAACAGCACTTAACAACAACAACAACAACAACATCCACATAAGGGGAGTTCTGGGCAATAAGGTCAGTTTTGAACCACAAGGTCAGCAGTTCCAACTCACCAGCCACTCCTTGGAAACCCTATACAGTGTCGCTATGAGTCGGAATCGACTCGACGGCACTTAACAACAGATCCAAATAAGGAGCCATGATAGCACTGTGGGTTAATTACTGGGCTGGTAGCCCACAAGGTTGACAGTTCAGACCCCATCAACTGTGGGAGGAACAAGGCTGTCTGCTCCTGTAAAGATTTACGGTCTCAGGAACACCGAGTACAAGTTCTGCTCTGCCTTTTAGGGTCCCTGTAAGCCAGACTTGACTCAAAGGCAATGTGTTTGGGTTGGTTGAGTTTTGACTTGCTTTCTCATGCAGATTAGAGGAATGCATTGGACAAGCAAGGTCTCTTGAGGGCAGGAGAGCTGAGTGAGGGACAGGGAGATTGCTCTTTCATGGACTGTGTATCCCATTTTTAGGGGCAGAGAGAGACTAAAAGGCAATCCATGTAGAACGTGCCAGGAGGCGCTAAAAAATGTATCACAGCTGGGGCAGTGAACGTCAAAAAGGGTGGACATTCTGGGTACAGCCATGTGAAGATCAGGGCACTGAGACAAGAGGCACCCCCATGCCTCCAACTGTTCACTGGAACTCAGGGGACACAGGAGTGGGCATGGAGGGGTGGAAAGGGTCTCTTAGGAGACAGCAGGAATTTGACCAAACCAGGGAGGGACTCAGCTGAGTGGAGTTGCAGAGTGGCCAGTGGGGGCAGTAACCACGCCTAGGCAGAGGGAGGAGCCACGAGAAAAGCAGAAGATGTTGTGCTGAATGCCACTTGGGGAAAAGTCAGCAGGGACTGAACTCACCACACAAGGAGGAAGGTGAATTGAGAGCTGGGGTGGGCGCCAGTGAGGAGACTGTTCTAGCATATTCTAGCAGGATGAGGGGGAAGGTCACTCTGTCAGGAGTTGTCCATTCTGGGCCTGGCATGGTGGAAGGACAGCTCACCGCCAGGCCTAGGTCCCGAGCAGGCTGTGCTCTCCCTTTGCCTTGGTAGCTGCCCTGAGTGAGTGACCCATTGCTGTGAGCAGGATTTGGACTCAGGAGGGCTGAAGTGACCGTCTTTAGGTCAGTGCCCTCTGCTGGTGGTGACCAGGCCCAGCGTGTGGCTCTCAGCTTCCCAGGCTGTTGCAGTGAGGAGAGGCGCTGGCCCCTGGCCACCGTCACTCATTTTTTCCACACCAGAAAGCACAGGAAAAGGCCTCTGACTGAATTTCCGGTGGGGGACAGGGTGGGGAGGGGTTGTTTCACTTTCGAGGGAGTTGGGGCAGGGCTAGGGAGGGCCACCCCTGTTACCATGTAAGGATTTGTAATCCTATATCACCGGAAGGAAGGATCAGGCAGAAAGCAGGGGATTCCCAGGCACAGACCTACATCAGAGAAACAGCCAGTATGCACATACACAGATACATCGACATGCATTTTTGTTGTTGTTAAGTGCAGTCAAATCGGTTCTGACTCATAGCAACCCTGTATAGGGTTTACGAAGACCAGCTGGTGGATTTGAACTGCCGATCTTGTGGTTCCCAGTTCTGTGGTGATCCTACAGCACCACACCAGGAGTCTATATATGTACCTACATACACTATATATATATATATAAAAGAGTCAAAAAGTTTCTGCACTCTGACTGTACAACTTACGTTAATCAACTTTAAGAAAATACAAATACATCATTTTTCAACATAATCTCCTTGCTTCTCAATTCACTTTTTCCATCTGTCAACAAGCTTTCGTATTCACTTATTGAGAAATGTTTTAGGCTGAGCTGCGAGCCACGAATGCACCATTCTCTTTATTTCTTCATCAGAGGTGAATCTTCATGCTTAAAAGGCTGCTTTCAGGGGGCCAAGCAGGTGAAAGTCCGATGGTGCAAGATCAAGGCTATAAGAAGGATGCTGTAACACCTCAAAATGAAGTTTCTGCAGAGTGTTAATAGTGTGGGCAGAGGTGTGTGGACATACATTGCCATGCAAGTTCACAACGCCCTAGGTTAGCAGTCCTCTGCATTTACTCTGAAGGTTAGGCGTCAGCTCGTCAGTGAACATCTCACTGTAATGAGAGCTGTTGATTGTCGAACCTTATTCTTGACAGTGTTCCAATACTGGCCCTTGAGAATCCGAGACGACTGTAAGCATCAATTTTCCAGCGGATGGTTGACTTGAACTTTTTCTTGGTTGGCAATTGAGGATGTTTCCATTCAAAGAACCTTTTACCTTCCTTCAAGTAGCTTTCCAAATGTTGTTTGCAGATGTCCAGAAGCTTCTGTTGATGTACTTCTGAGAAGTGCTTCAGTACCTGTCTCACACAAACTCTTCAAAACCCAAGTGTCATGGATTCTTTCATAGGCAGAGCCATGGCTGATCTATTTGGCAAAATCACTTCACATGCATGCTCAATGTTGTCATCAGCTGTAGACATAGATGGGCGTTTTAATATAACCAGAGTGCGGATAATTTTTGACTCACCCTCAGACATATACACAGGTAAACATATGTACAGAGATACACATATATACAATACACATTTGTTGTTGTAAGGCGCCATCGAGTCAGTACCAACTCATCGTGACCCCATGCACAACAGAACGAAACACTGCCCAGTCCTGCACCAACCTCACAACTGTTGCCACGCTTGAGCCCATCGATGCTGCCACTGTGCCAGTCCATCTTGTTGGGGATCTTCCACTTTTTCTCTGACCCTCCGCTTTACCCAGCATGATGTCCTTCTCCATGGACTAGTCCCGCCTTATAATATGTCCTTTATATATATGTGTGTGTGTGTGTGTGTGTGTGTACCCACATATATATGGTATATGGAGTCCTGGTGTGGTGCTGTGGGTTAATGCGCTGGACTATAAGGTATGTTTGAACTAAAAGGTCGGCAGTTCAAGCTCACCAGCCACTCCTCGGAAAGATATACAAGGACACTAGGAGTCGGAAACAACTCAACAGCAGTTAACAACAACAATATACATATATAGAGAGTCCTGGGGTGGTTCTGTAGGATAAGCATTCAACTGCAAGGTCATTCTGAACGGCAGGATCTGCAGTTCAAACTCACTAGCCACTCCTCAGAAACCCTATACAGGGTCACTATGGGTGGGAACCAACTTGACAGCATTTAACAACAATACATATATACGCACACACACTTACATACCTGCATACACATATGTACACATACATATTTGCATATATAATGCATATGTTGTTGTTGTTGTTAGGTGCCACTGAATCGGTACCGACTCATAGCGACCTTATGCACAGCAGAACAAAACACTGCCCGATCTTGAGACAACCTCACTACTGTTGCCACACTTGAGTCCATCGATGCTGCTACTTGGCCAATCCATTTCATTGGGGGTCTTCCTCTTTTTCTCTGACCCTCCACCTTACCAAATACAATATCCTTCTCTAACGACTGGTCCCTCCTGACAATATGTCTGAAGTAGGAGAGACGAAGTTTGGCTATCTTGGCCTCCAAGGAACACTCTGGCTGCACTTCTTCCAAAACAAATCGATTGGTTCTTTTGGCAGCCCATGGCACTTTCAATATTCTCCTCCAACACCATAACTCAACGGCTTCAATTCTTCTACGGTCTTCCTTATTCACTGTCCGGCTTTTGCATGTGTATGAGGTTATTGAAAATACCATGGCTTGTGTCAGGCACACCTTAGTCCTCAAGCTGACATCTTTGCTATATTTATATATATAGATATATATATAGAGAGAGAGAGAGAGAGAGAGAGAGAGAGAGAGAGAGAGAGAGAGAGACAGTCCTGGGGTGGCGCTGTGGGCTAATGCGTCAGACTGCAAAGTCATTTGAACTGCAAGGTCAGTGGTTCAAGCTCACCAGCTTGACCCATACAGGGTCGCTATGGGTCGGAATAGACTCGGTGGCACTTAACAACAACAAATATATATATACACACACACATTCACATACATGGCTATATATACTCCAACATACAAATATGTACCCACATGCACGCATTCACATTTGCATATATAATGCATATATGCATATATATTTGCATATGTATATATACACACATTCATGCACATGGATATATATCCCCACATACATATGTATGTATACCCACATGTATGCCTACATATATACACACATACACACAAGTATGTACATAGATGTTGTTATTGTTGTTAAGTGCCCTCAAGTCAGTTCTGACTCATATAGACCCTGTCTAGGGTTTCCAAGGAGCAGCTGCTGGATTTGAACTGCCAACTTTGTGATTCGCAGTCCAGTGCTGATCCTACCAGCACCACACCAGGAGTCTATATATATATATTGCTGTTATGTGCTATTGAGCCCTTTCTGACTCATGCTGTTGTTGTTAGGTACCATTGAGTCACTGTGGACTCACAGCGACCCTATGCACAACGAAACGAAATACTGCCTGGTCCAGGACCAACCTCACAATCGTTGCTATGCCTGAGCCCATCACTGCTGCCACTGTGCCAATCCTTCTTGTTGGGGGTCTTCCTCTTTCTCTCGGATCCTCTACTTTGCCAAACATGATATCCTTATCCAGTGACTGGTCCCTCCTGATAATCTGTCCAAAGTATGAGAGATGAAGTTTGGCTATCCTGGCTTCCAAGGGGCATTCTGGCTGTACTTCATCCAATACAGATCTGTTTGCTTATTTGGCAGTCCATGGCACTTTTCAATATTCTCCTCCAACACCATAATTCAAATGCGTAACTCTTCTATGGGTTTCCTTATTCACTGTCCAGCTTTCACATGCATATGAGACTATTGAACATACCATGGCTTGGATCAGGTGCACCTTAGTCCTCAAGCTGACATCTTTGCTCTTGAACACTTTAAAGAGGTCTTGGGCAGCAGATTTGCCTAATGCAATACATCATTTGATTTCTTGACTGCTGCTTCCATGAGTGTTGATGGCTGAGCCAAACAAAATGAAGTCTTTGACAACTTCAATCTTTTCTCCATTTATATGGATGCTGTTTATTGGTCCAGTGATGAGGATTTTTATTTTCTTTACATTGAGATGCAACCCAGATTGAAGGCTGTGCTCTTTGATCTTCATCAGTAAATGTCTTAAGTCCTCTTCACTTTCAGCAAGCAAGGTTATATCATCTGCATATCGCAGGTTGTTAATGAGTCTTCCTCCAATCCTGATGCCACATTTGTCTTCATATAATCCTACTTCTTGGGCTATTTGCTCAGCATACAGGTTGAATGTGTATGGTGAAAGAATACAACTCTGGTGCACACCTTTCCTAATTTTAAACCATAGGGACCCTGTATAAGGTTTCTGAGGAGCCACTGATGAGTTTGAGCCGTCAACTTTCATTGAAAAAATTTCAACAAAAAATAATTTCAAAAAAATTCACAGAAAAAATTCCATTATCTTTTAACTCCATTTTCTGTGAATATAAATGTGGGGAGTTATATAGAGAGAAAGATAGGAGAGTCTGGATGGCACAAGTGGTTAAGCACTCAAGTCCTAGCCAAAAGGTTGGAGGTTTGTAAACATCCAGAGGTACGTCAGCAGAAAGACCTGGAGATCTGCTTCTGAAAAGTCAGTCTTGAAAACCCTCTGTAGCCATTCTCGTCTGCACACATGAGGATGCCATGAGTCAGTATCGACAATAACAACAATGTCCATACACACACACACACACACACACACTAAAGAGAGATTTCGTTTTGAGAAATTGGCTCTTGCCCTTGTGGGGCTGACAAGTTCCAAATTGATTGACCAAGTGGTGGGGATTCTGACAGAATGTGTTTCTTGTCTGGAGGCTGAATCTTCCCTTGGAGCAAAACCCCCTTATTGCTCCTCAGGCCTTGGACTGACTGGGTGAGGCCTGCCAACCATCTGGGAAGCTCAGTTCTTTTGTTGTAGCTGTTATTGTTAAGTGCTGTCAAGTTAGTTCTGACTCATAGCAAGCCGGCATAGGGTTTCCAAGGAGCAGCTGATGAGTTTGAACCGCCAACCTTGAAATCCAGTGCTTATCCTACAGCGCTTTGTCTGCACTCCTTTATCCTGACCTAATCCTAAATCCACCAAAGCATCTTAGTGTCATGTTGACAGACAGTGGAATCAACTAGAATGAACTGGGCTCAGAGCACTGACTGAGGAGGAACACCCCCCCACACACCCCACACTCCGACCAGAGCTGCGGAGCCTGGTTATGGCCAAGGTCTCTCAGGGCCCCCTGTGACCTGACCATCCTCACAGTCACCACCATGTGGTAGCTCGTTCCTGCTGCCCCTGGGTCAGCACGTCTCTTTGGGGGCCTTCCTCTTTTTCACTGACCCTCCACTTTACCTAGCATGATGTCCTTCTCCAGGGACTGGTCCCTTTTGACGACATGTCCAAAGTGTGTGAGACAAAGTCTCACCATCCTGGCTTCTGAGGAACATTCTGGCTGGACTTTCTCCAACACAGATTTGGAGGAAAGTATCTGGCAGTCAGTCCATGGGACGTTCCATTTTCTTCAACACCACGCACAATGGTGTAATTGAAGTGCACTGAGTCGTCTTCAGTCTTCCTCATGCATAGGAGGCCTCGAGTGGAAAGATCATCTTGGCCTGCGTCAGGCGCACCTTACTACTTCCCCACTTGCTCTGCTGCCGCTTACTTTCTCATAACCTCCCACAGGGTCTTTCCACACCTGGGACTCCGGGAGGACGGACTTCTGCAATAGCTGCACATGTTTCTCCATATAGTTCCCTTTCTCTGAATTACTCACCCTTCGTTGATGGTCCATCTCCCCAGCTTCAACATCTTGGGTGAAGCATTGACAGCATCCACGTCTCATAATCTGAAGTGGAGGGAAGGGAAGGGCTCCTTGTCTTGGATGAGGGAGCCAGGGGTCAGAGGATGGCCCCCAACCCTGAGCCCTGGAAGCTGTGAGGAGCTGAACGTACTCTACAAAAGGAAAGATGAAGGTGGAAGGTGGAGCGGACAGTCAGTTAGGAGCCTGTTCTAGAATCAGGGTGGCCACATGCAGGGCAAGGGACGGGGCCAGCTTGGTGGGGAAACTGTCTGTTCTGTCTTAGGCACATCCCAGCCCCACAGTCCCAGGGTCCCCAATGCAAGCAGGTCAGGGTCACCAAGGCCTGAGTACACGGTCAGGGCTCTCCTGAACCAGGTTCCTCGAGGCTTTCGCCGCTCCCCCGTCCACTGCAGAGGCCCCTGCAAGGCAGATGGATGCAGGGGTGGGAGTTTTGTTGCAGGCGTGCTGGTCTCTGGTAAAACTGTGCTTGTTTTGAAGAGTGCTAATTGTTGAGACTTGGCAGCACGTGGACAGTTTCCAGGGATTGCAGGCATGTGTTGGCCAGCTCATGAAACAGCAGCGATTTCTCTTGGGCTTCTTAAGCAGTATCTGCCCCCCATCCCTGCTTGGCTGGGTCACCATCCATCTGTGAAATCCGTAGTTATAAAGGACATCATCGGGCCAGGCAGTCCTGGACGGTGTGAGTGGTGAATGCCTGGAGGTTCTGGTCTGCCCAGAGGTACCTCAGAAGAAAGGCCTGGTGATCTACTTATAGAAACTCAGCCATTGTTGCAGGTCCCCTTCGGACACACAGAACTGAGTCAACAGCAACTGTGAAAAATAAAGGCATCTCGAGGATAAGGTGCTGGCGTTACTATGTGGTTTTTAAGTGCCGTTGAGTGGGTTCTGACTCAGAGCGACCCTGTATAGGGTTTCTGAGGCTTTCAATCATTGCAGGAGCAGAAAGCCTCATCTTTCTCCCATGAGGTGGCTGGCAGTCTTGAACTGCAGATCTTGTGGTTCGCAGTCCAGTGCTTATCATATGTCGCTATGGAGCTGGCATTAGAAATCCATGAGTAGCCTATGTGTGGCATGTGCACCCTCTGCTGGCTTGTAGCCCAGCCCAGGCCTCCTCAGAGATAAACAAGGTCAGTCAGTGGGCGACACTTGATAAGGGGACATCAGACAGGGATCACTCGCCCTCGTTAAACAGAGCAGGGACACGCAAACGGAATGAGCTACAGCCGGGGCTATTTGGGAAGTGCAGCCTTGTGGGGGTGATGTCATGGGGTCCCCTGGGTCTGAAGAGAGAGGCACAACACAACCTTATATGGAGAGTCACTAGCCGTTGTTGGAATTATCCTGGTGTGGTATAGTAGGAAAAGCACTCACTCACAAGGTCCGTTTGAATCACAAAGACGGTAGTTCAAACTCACCAGCCGCTCCTCAGAAACCCGATACAGGATTGCTATGAGTCAGAACTGACTCAATGGCACCTCACAACAACAACAACAATGAGTGAATTGGTAGGTCCTGGTTACAGTCTCCGGCCTAAAGCTTCAGGCTCCCCACCCTGAAGATGAGCACACACTTGTCCCCCAGGCTACTTCTCACCTCTGAGAACGGGCTGACCCAAACTGAGTGTGTGTGTTACTGCGGCCATATGTCTGTGAGGATGGAGGGAGTTTGTCCTTGTGGATTGCAGGGTCTGTCTGTGAGAGTGGTGGGCAGCGGTAATGGGGTGGCTGCCACAACCCCAGTTATTTCTATGAAATCTTCCCCTGTAGGAAAAATGCCACCAATACTGGCCCGACCAAGGCTGCTGGACGTACGGGAACATCCGCGTGTGTGTGGAGGACTGTGTGGTCCTGGTGGACTATACCGTGAGGAAGTTCTGCATCCAGTCTGTGAGCATCTCATGGTCGCTTGGTTGGCGGCCATTAATACACGTCACCATGAAGAGCTCTGTACCCCAATGTTGTAGGAGTTCCCCTGGAGGAGGTGCTGCTCTGGCAGGGAGGATGTGGTCAGCCAGGAGTGAGTGGGTGGAAGTGGGCAGCAGACATGAGTTAGCAGAGATGGCCCTGACACACGTGTCCATGAGTCTGCTGAGAGGGAGACAGAAGCTTCTAGAAGTTCCTAGTCCCATTCTAGTCTTCCCCAAAAGAAACTCAGTCTAGGTGAGGGACACCGAGGTTAAGGGCCCCCACCTCTAGAGCACAATGGAATTGTGAGGCAGGGATCTAGGAACTTTTAACACTTTCAACATTGTATATGAAACTCCCTCATTATTTTTCATACTTATTTCCTATTAGCTCCCTGTCAAAAGAGATATTTAAAAAAAAAATTTTGGAAAGCAGGAGGTGTTTTTTTCAGGAATCAAAGATAAAGTGATGAGCGTATCACAGAGAATGTCTCTGAGGTTCCTAGAAGCCAGAGCAAAAAGAGGAAAAGGATGAACTTTTTCGTTCTGATTATAGCCTCCCTCCCAGATGCACATGCATTTCCAGGCGTTTGTCTATTTCTCCTCCCGGGGCGGGGCAGTAGACAAACAAACCCCAGGACTCGGGAGGAGATGCTGAGGCGGACATAACAGAAACCCTAGACAGGGGCGCTGTGAGTTGGGCAGACTCCGACTCCTTGGCGATAGGTTTGGTGTCTGCTTTGGAGAGGGGAAGGAGCGCCTGTCAGGAATGATGGGCCCCGGGAGCTGTGGTTTCTGGGTGCTCGGGGCCTGCCTGGCTGTGACAGCTGCCCACTGGCCCTGCTCTGCCCTGAGTGAGCGACCACAGCATGACTGGCCCCCCAGCCCCACATGCACTATGACTGCCCCAGCTGGGGACGGGGAGCTGTCCAAGCATCATCAGAACGGATCCTGAAGAAGGGTGGGGGACAATGGGAGGCGTCACCAGTTCACAGCGCCCCCCACCCCACTCTCTGCAGGTTCCCGACAGCTGTAAGGCTCCTCGGCAGATCTCCCAGCTGCATTTCACCAGCTGGCCCGACTTTGGAGTGCCCTTCACGCCCATTGGGATGCTGAAGTTTCTGAAGAAAGTAAGAACGCTGAACCCCACCCACGCTGGGCCCATCGTGGTCCATTGCAGGTACGTGAGCCACCCCATGTTCACTGAGGGATGGTGACCGGTGGGCCAAGTCCGGGGGAGGGGTGGGCAGGGTGTGAGAGCATCGCCTCTCTCAGTGACCCTTCTGGAAGGTGACGGGATGCAGCGAGGTGGAGAAGTTAAAGCTGTCAGCTCGCTGGGCAGTTAGCAAGCCCCTTTCTTCATGGCCAGAGGGCCTGGGCCTGGTCCTGTTGCCAGATCTCTTGAGCAGCCTGCCCTGACCGGTCCCAGCCCGTCTTTCGGCTCTGGGTCCTCTTCTGTGAGGTAGGAGGGCCTGGGATGGCTATGGCGGCTGCAAACAGGCTTCATGCAGTTACCAAGGTCTGCTGCTGGCGCCAAACGGCCACCACCCTCATTCCACCGCCGCCGAGGGAGTCCCTAGATTGTGAAAAAGCAGACTCCAAAAATGACCACTTTCCCAGCGCATGCTCCCCTCAGCTTTCTCAGCTCTGCCGTTATTCTGTGTCCACTGGTGGTTTCCCACGCTGGCGCTTTAGTGGCTGGGTCCTCCCATCCCGAGCTGCACAGCCCGGGCGTCCACCCGGATGCTTCTGCGATGGGGACCACATGCACGCAGAGGCCCGAGCTGCGGCCGCCTGTCACACTTGCAGACACTGGCCGTCCCCCTACCCCTGCCCTGCCCTGCCCCAGCTCCGCCCGGGAGGCCAAGGACATCCTGACCCCTGCCCACTCCGGAGCCGAGGGACCAGGAGTCTCAGCTTCCTGCGCTGCAAAACGGGAGGCAAACGATTAGCTCGGTCACCAGCTAACCAAAAGGCGGGGGGCTCAAGTCCGCCCAGAGGTGCCACTGAAAACCCCATGGAGCCCAGGTCTACTTCTGAGACAGGTGGCTCATGGCAACCCCATGTGGTGACAAGCCTGGGCACTGAGAAAAAACAAACTCCCGTGACACAAGTGATAGCAAGAAAACAGCCTCTGTTAAGAGCGGAAAAAATGCCCCAAGCACCCCACAAGCTACCACAGCACGGCTTTGGAGGGGCCTTTTCTACTTCCTGTGGGCGCCTTGGAGATGGTGGTGCGAGACCGCAGCGCCCCCTGGTGGTCGTCCAGTAGACTTGCCCTTTATGAACCAAAGACAATTGCAACTTTCCCTGGAGTGTAAGCCCCCCATGTACGGCGTGTCCTTCGGCCCCGTCTGCAGGCATCTTCTGTGCTTGATTGGGGACTGTGACTCACGACACGGTGTCTCCCTTTCTCCCTAAGCGCGGGCGTGGGCCGGACGGGCACCTTCATAGTGACCGACGCCATGATCGACATGATGTGCGCGGAGCAGAAGGTGGACGTCTTCGAGTTTGTCTCAAGAATCCGCAATCAGCGTCCTCAGATGGTCCAAACGGACGTGAGTAGTGGCGCCCTCTGGCCCCAGCCCGCTCTTACATGACACCCTACAGCCAGAGGCTAGCCCGGTGCCCTGCGCCCCACCGCCGGGTCTCCCTGCCTGCTCCGCGCTGTCAATCAGGCACTGGTGTTTGACTGCAGATAACTCCTGCCCATGGGGCTCACCTGGGTCAGAGCACCTGGCTCCACTGCCCGCTGGTCCCTTCATGCCCCTGGGACCTCGGGGAATCAGCCCCCTGAGCCTGTAGTCCTCCTATAATATATGGTCAGCTGTCATTAAGACAACTGGAATTCCTCTGTCTAGTTGATTCCAACTCATCTCGAGCCGGCAGGACAGAGTGGCTTGTCCCGTAGGGTTTCCGAGGCTGTAAGTCTTTACAGAAGCTGACTGCCTCATCGTTCTCTCAGGGAGTGGTTGGTGGGTTCGAACCATTGCCCTTTCGGTGAATAGCTGAAAGCTTAGCCCATGGCACCACCAGAGCTCCCACAGCCGGAAGAGCTATTGAAATGGTGTTGATCTGACTTGTGTCCAGAAACCTCCTTCCTTTGGCCCCTTGGGGGCCACAGCTGCTGGGTGGAGTCGAGGGTGCCTGTTGTCCCTTGGGTCCCGCAGATGCAGTACACGTTCATCTACCAAGCCTTGCTGGAGTACTACTTGTACGGAGACACGGAGCTCGACGTGTCCTCCCTGGAGAGACACATGCAGGCTCTGCACGGCTCCGCCAGCCACTTTGACAAGATCGGGCTGGAGGAGGAGTTCCGGGTAGGTACCCTGAGACACCTCCTCAGGGGTGAGTGAGCGGGCACAGGAAGCAAGGAAAATGGTCACTATTGAAATGAAGTCATGGTCAACCACTCCCTTCTTATTGGCTGGCAGGGACAGAGGGAGGGGGAAGTCGAGAGCGCCCCCTTGGGCTCAGAACCTTAACTGGTATTTTTCCTTTCCAAGGCCATAGGGGCTGGCTTCAGAGGGGCCAAGTCATTGCTGTTTCTGGGCGCCCTTCCAGGCCGACCTCGAAGATACTAACGGCTGGGTTCACTGCAATAAAGCGAGGCACACTCACTTTTGTTGACTAGCTCATAGAAAGGCTGTGTGTCCGCCAGACTTAATCTCTGAAATATGCGCTAGTAGCAAGGTGAAAACGTTTGAAATGTCTGAGAACCACCAACTTGGGGCAGCACGCGCTATTAGAAAACTGCCCCCCCACCCCCCGTAGGTTTGCTCAATGCTGAGTCAGCACAAAAAAAACCCTTCCGTTTGTAACAAAAACAGCTTGCTATCTGCGAATCGCAGTGGAGCGCGCTGCGTTAGAAGGGGGTCAGCCTGCTCTGCCTTGGGAAAGTTAGAGATGTAACCGACCACGTGACTTGTTTTTAATTGCAGAAGTTGACGAACGTCCGGATCATGAAAGAGAACATGAGAACTGGTAACTTGCCGGCGAACATGAAGAAGGCCAGAGTCATCCAGATTATCCCGTGTAAGGCTGCCCGGGGACGGGGGGGATGGGGGGGGTCTGCACACCTGATCCCCTCCCTCTGTGAGCGGGACCAGGCTCCTGAGCCATGTGAAGGTGTTAGGCAGAAGCAGTGAGAGACCACAGGGTCCTCATGTGTCCAGGCGGCTGTGAGCGGGAGAGGAGCCGAGCTGGGGCAGCTGCCAACCGGAGGTCACAGAAACTAAGAGGTTCCCTTTAGGACCACCAGCGTAGTGGTTACGAATCGGGCTGTGAACCGCAAGGTCAGCAGTTCAAAACTACCAGCTGCTCCGCAGGAGAAAGAAGAGGCATTCTGCTCCCGTAGAGATTTACAGCCTGGGAAACCCTGTACAGGGTCGCTATGAGTCGGAACCAACTCCATGGCACAAAGTCAAGCCAAGCCCCCGCCCCACTACTTTACACAGACCGACAGAAAACTGAATTACAGCCCTGGGCCATGTGGCAGGAGAGAGCTAGGTGGGGCCTGAAATGAGCGGGATCCCGCTGCTAGGAACGGCTTTGAGAGGGCAGGAAAGCTGGAATGTCCGGCGACTGACCTGCAACCATGGTCCTGTGGCAGCTGGGCAGGCGAGGAATTGGGTCTCACCTATGAGAAAAACAAGCCCAGCCAGAGACTCCACAGAGCACTGAGGGGCTGGTGGGAAGGGCAGCGGGTGATTGGCTGGAGCTGGAGAAGGGGGTGGGACATGTCCTTTCTAGACACTCCCCCAACAGTTACATCTCCTAACCCACGTGGTCTGAAAACAGCTGTCCACAGGTCTGTCTCAACAGGTCATGGGGCAGTGGTGGCTCGCAAGTAGAATTCACACATTTCTTGTGGCGTCCTGGTGTGACCTGTAGGTTATTGTGCTGGACTGCAGCAAGGTCGTTTGAACCTCAGTGTCGGCAGTTGTCGCTCACTAGCCACTCCTTCGAAACCCGTGTAGGAGACCCCAATTCCTTCCCTAATAATGTAGCTCACATGCAGCCCTACCCATCTGTCAGTGGAGGTTTGGGTATAGCTTTCAGACTAAGACACACTCGGAAGAAAAGCCTGCCTATCTACCTGTAAACATCAGTCCGTGGCAACCACGTTGTGCAGGACCTGCAGTGTGTGGTTACACTGACCTGGGGTTGCCATGCGCAAGGCCAACAGCAGCAAGAGGTCACAAACCCACAGCCACGGAGCAGACTGCAGGGAAGTTTCAAAGGCAGGGCTGGCAAAGACTCTCTTCAGACCCCAGACAGATACTTGATTCTCATAGGCTGTTTCATAAAGTTGGCTACCTGGATACATTCTCTCTCTCTCTTTTGTTTAATTATCGTTTACATATAATTTGTATTATTTTTTATTCTGAAATCACAGAGGACACAAAAACATCGCAAAGATATTGGAGTTCTCACACATGCAACATCTTACCTAACCATGGTACATGAATTCAAACTCAGAAATTAACATTAGTGCAATGTTGTTGTTGTTGTGAAGTACCGTTGAGTGGGTTCCGACTCATAGCGACTCTATATAGGGTTTCCGATGAGTGGCAGGTGGGGTAGAACCACCAACCTTGCGATTTAAACTGACCTTGTGGTCCAGTGCGTTATCCTGCAATACCCTTCACTAAAACACAGACTTTATCTTTTTCTGTTCCAAATCTAATCTGAAGATCCCACTTGGCACTTAGTCATGCCTCCTTCATGCCCCTCAATTTCTGACAGTCCTACAGTCTGTCCTTACCTTTCATGACAGTGTCACTTTTGAAGAGTTGTTGTTGCTAAGAGCTGTCAAGTCGGCTCCAACTCACAGCAACCCTGTATAAGGTTTCCAAGGAGCAGCTGGTGGGTTCGAACTGCCAACCTTGCGATTATCAGTCCAGTGCTGATCCTCCAATGCCACACCAGGCCTCCCGACCAAGTATTGTGTAGAATGAGCAATGCACTCGTTTTATTCCTCAAACATGGTGTTTTTATATAGATTGATTTGTTTCATTACCATCAATTCATGAAAAATGAAAATGACAGCTGTGTTGTTTTCAAAGATACATTATAAATCAAAAGCTCCCTGGGCATCTCCCTTAAACCTACGTCTGAAAGTAAACTTTCAGAAGAGCTGACTGGACTACCCTTGTTCTTAGTGATTTAGTAATGGGTTTTAGATTTTGGAAGCTCGTTGTTGTTGTTGTTAAGTGCCGACCCATAGCGACCCTGTATAGTGTTTCCAAGGAGCAGCTGTTGAGTTTGAACCACCGACCTTGCAGTTCAAACGAACTTGCAGTCTGACGCATCAGCCCACGGCGCCCCACCAGGACTCCACTTGGAAGCTCGTAGCAGCAGGTTATACATAATGTGCTGTACAGGACAGTTTGTGCTGACGCAACCAAATACTCTCATAGATGACTTCAATCGCGTGATCCTATCCATGAAGCGAGGGCAAGAATACACCGACTACATCAACGCATCCTTCATAGATGTAAGTGCGCGGGCCTGGACGGGGTATCCCTTAGTGTACCATCACACAGGGTCACACCATCTGGAAAAACTGACACATTTCACTCCAAACACTAAATGCACTCTGGAAATCCAAGAACGAGAGACTCAGTAATCTGCCGGTGTTTGCTTCTGTAAGGAAAAGAAAGAAAGAGAGACGAAGAGAGAAAGAGAGACGAAGAAAGTCTTGGCTTCAACAGCAGGCAGGTTTATTGAAAGTAAGCCTGGGACGGGGTACTCTTAAGTCTCCAAAAGAGACCAAGAGCCCGTCCGTTCTCTTACAGACTGAGATATTTAAAGGTGGTGAGATCTGGGTACAGTTCTGGCCTGTATACAACGGGCGGGGTTATGGAGATTTGGGGCGGGGTTATGGAGATTTGGGCGGGGCTAGCTGCAATGCCATTCTGAAGATCAGGCGCAAGGTCCTTCAACTTCTGCTTTTAAAGATGTTACTAGACAAACAGGAATCGTCCTTTTCCTGGTACGCATGGATCTGCAGTAGGGATGCCCAGCTGCATTCACCCAGAAGGACAGGAATACCGAGCCTGTCCAGGACCCTCGGGCACCACTGTATCTGCCTCGTGGGGTTGGCCAATGTGTGGACAGGAAAGGCATTACAAACTAGCATGTGCTGCTGGTTCCGCTTTACAGATGAGAAAACATGTGCCCAAGGTCATGTAGGGCTTTGTGTAGGCGCTGGATTTGAACCCACTTCCTGTAACGCCCAGGCCTCTTAGCCGTGCCTCGTGATACCTGCTTTGTTTCAACAAATAGACACACGCTACAGTCAAAGTCCACAGCAGCTCTTACTCAGGTGGCTGCAGGTGCCAGGCTGTTCGTGGTGCTGGGCACAGTCCAGTTGTGGGTGACCTCAGTGCTGGAGAGCAGGGGGGACCTGACCAGTGGCAGCCCCGAAAAGATTTTCCTCACCCTCCGTGGGATGGGCTGTGTCCTGCTCATAGGGCCCCTAGTGGACTTGACCCATTGCTCCATTTACAGGGCTACCGGCAGAAGGACTATTTCATTGCCACCCAGGGCCCGCTGGTGCACACCGTGGAGGACTTCTGGAGGATGATCTGGGAGTGGAAATGCCATACCATCGTGATGTTAACTGAGGTCCAGGAGCGCGAGCAGGTCAGGATGCCGTCCAGCTTCTAGGGCTGCTGGCTGACACAGCGCTTAGACTTCTGGGAAATGAGAAGGGCTTCCCCTCATCTTTTGTTGTTGATATTAACCATCCATTGCCTTTTACACTTCACTTACATTTTGTTTCACCTGCTTGCCTTGGTGGTGCACTGGTTAAGTGCTCAGCTGCTAACCAAAAGTTTAGGGGTTTGAACCCACCAGCCGCTCCATGGAGAAAGATATGGCAGCTGGCTTCCGTAAAGTTACAGCTTGGGAAACCCAATACAGCTGCCTGTGGAGTCACTGTGAGTCAGAATTGACTTGATGGAAATGAGTTTGGATGGGGTTTTTTGGAATTTTGCTGAGAAAAAGACATTTTCCACTTTTTTCAAGACATAAAGGTATAGACACTCATCCATGTACGCTATACTGTCCAAGTGAGTTGGTTAAGTGGCTCCGCCTCCTTATTATACTCATTTAATGATGTCACAAACACTCGGGAGCCCACCACCCATGGAGAAACCAAACCAGTACCAACAACGTTCATCCATCTGTCTAAACCTCGATGCTGGATTTCTTTCTTTAAAAAAAAAACAACTTTTTATTGTGAATCAAGTGAAAGTTTACAAACAGAATCATTGGTTTTACATTCAACAAATCACACACCTTGTTTCATCTCAGTGATTGCAGTCCCCTCCACACAACTAGTCATCCTGCTTCCTCCTCTGCTCCTATTTCCATTCCACCCACCTGCCCAGCCCAGCTCAACTTTGTCCTTAGGTAGATGCTGCCCTGTTGATTTTGAATGATTGACCATTCCATGGTGAGCACACCTTACTAGTGTTGTCCCCACTACATACCTAGCTACTGCGTGGCTGAATATTGGGCCACAAGGGTGAGTTCCTTTCCAGACCTGAAGGATGGTCAAGGGCCAGAGTCTCGGGTTGCTCCAGTCTCTTCCTGACCAGTAAGCCCAGTCTTTCTTTATACACTTTAGTTTTGGTCCGCATTTTCTCCCACTTTATCCAGGATCTCCTAATGATCCTTTTCACAGCAGTTGGTGGTGGTCTCTGGTCTGAGAATCGTGGTGACAAATGTTCACCTGCTCCAGTGATCCACGCCTCTTCAATTTTCCAAGCCTCTTCAATTTTCAACACTCTGCTTCCTCTAGCTCATGGAGAGACCAGTAGTTGCACCTTAAATGACCACCCATGAGCTTTTAAGACCCCCAACACTACTGACAAAGTAGGCTGTAGAACGCTGTCTTTGTGGACTATGTTACACCAATTGACCATGGTGTCCCCTGAACCTATCTATGGTCCCGAGTCCTCAGGCCCAGCAACTCATTGCTTTAAGATGTCTGATAATACCTTAGAAGTTTTCATCTATCTCTCTGCCTATTGTATACTCTATCTTATTCACAGGTGTGTTTGCAGCAGAGGTAAATACGCATGTATAAATAGTCTCTTTCAAACCCTTATATATGTATGGGTTTATGCCCATCTTCCTCCCATCCCCCTTCAGTGTATCTGTCCATGTATCTACCCACAGAATACTTTTGTTCCAGGGTTTGCCATATAACACTATTTACCTTTATCCCTGTGACTTCACCTGTCTGCATTACTCTTCTGACACCTCCCTCTTCTTGCATACTGCCCTTCTTCTTCTTGTATATTGCTCTTCCTGTCACCCATATTGGAGTCCTGGGGTGGCGCTATAGGTTATCGACTGCTAACCGCAAGTGGTGGTTCAGACTCACCAGCCACTCCTCTGAAACCCTATACAGGCTCGCTATAAACCATTGTAATTTTGATTTGCCTCTCTCTAACGGCTGATGATCATGACCATTGCTTCATTATGTCTGTTGGCTGCCTCAGTGTCTTCCTTGATGAAGTACCTAGTCATGTCCTCTACCCATTTTAAGGCGTTCTGGTAGCGTAATGGTTATGAATCGGGCTGCGAACTGCAAGGTCAACAGTTTGAAACTACCAGCTGTTCCACAGGAGAAAGATGAGGGTTTCTGATCCCGTAAAGATTTACAGCCTTGGAAACCCTGTACAGGGTCCCTATGACTCGGAACCAACTCCACGGCACATAACAACAACAGCCAACCCATTTTTAAATTGTGTTGTTTGCCTTTTTCTTATAGAAGTGTTATCATTTCCATAAATTTTAGAGATCAGTCCCTGCAAAAAAAGTTTCCCTGTCTGTGGGCTCTCTTTGTACTCTTTTGGCAAAATCTTTTGATGTGAATAAATATTTAAGTTTTAGGAGGCCCCAGTCATCTACCTTGTCCTCTGGGTTTATATGTTATCAGTTATGTTTGACAGTGTATGTAGGCCATGTATTGGAGCCCCTAAGTTTATCCTTTTTTTTTTCATTGATGATCTTACCGTTCTAGGTTTTTACATTTAGGTCTTTCGTCCACATTGAGTTTGTTTTTGTGTATGGTGTGAAATATGCATCTTGTTTCATTTTTCTGCAAATGGATTTTCAGGTTTACCAGCACCATTTGTTGAAGAGACTGTTTCTTCCCATTGAATGTGTTGTGGATCCTTTCTTTGTCAAAGATCATCTGCCTGCATGGATGGATTTACTTCTGCATTCTTAGTTCTCCTCCAATGATCTATGTATCTTTCATTGTACAGCACCAGGTTATTTGGACCACTGTGGCTGTGTAGTAGATTTTGAGATCAGGGAGTCAGAGGCCTCTAACTTTGTTCTGCTTCTTAAGCAATGCTTTGCTTATCCGAGGTCTCTTTGCTTTCCATATAAAGTTAGTGGTCAATTTTTCGTTCTCTTTAGGGAATAATGTTGGAATCTGGGTTCAGATTGCATTGTATATATATATATAGGTTACTTTGGGTAATGCTGACATTCTCACAATGTTAAGTCTTATCCATATTGTTGTTGCTGTTGTTAAGTGCCATCAAGTCAGTTCCGATTCATAATGACCCAGTATAAGGTTTCCGAAGAGCCGCCGGTGAGTTTGAACCATTGACCTTGTGGTTTGTAGTCCAGTGCTTACCATACCAGGACTTGTGCAGAAATGGTATAGTCTTCCATTTTCCTAAGTCTCTTTTGGTTTCCCATAGTAGCATTTTGTAGTTTTCTATGTATAGGTCTTTTGTTTCTCAAAGTATTTCAGTTTTTGGGTGGCTGTTGTAAATGGTAAGGAGCCCTGATACCATAGGGGATTATGAGCTGGGTTGGTAACCACAAGGTCAGCAGTTTGAATCTAGCAGTTGCTTCTCAGGAGAAAGATGAGGCTTTCTGCTCTTGTAAAGAATGAACAACCTTGGAAACCCTATACAAGACCCATTATGAGTTGGAACTGCCTTTACCACTACCATCACCATTGAAAACTGCTGTTTTCCTGGTTTCCTTTTCAGAGCCGTCTTTATTAGTACAGAGGAATCCGACTGATTTTTGTATATTGATCTTGTACTCTGCCATTTGGCTGAATCTTTCAATGAGTTCCAATACTTTTCTTGCTGAGTCTTTGGGATTTTCTATGTATAGGATCGTATCATCTGCAAATAGAGTTTTACTTCTTTGCCAATTTGGATGCCTTTCATTTCTTTTTCTTGCCTTATAGCTCTGGCTCAGACTGCCAGCACAGCATTGAATATGAATGACGATAAAGGGCATCCTTGTCTGGTTCTCGTTCACAAAGGAAATGCTCCCAGTTTCTCTCTGTTGAGAGTCACGTTGGCAGTTACATATATGCTCTTGGTTGAGGAATTTATGAGGCTGGATTTTGTTGTGGTTCCTTTGCTTTAAGAACAAAAACCGCTTCTTTACTGAGATTTAATTCACATGTTGTACGATTCACCTTTCTAAAGTGGGCAATTCCAATTTAAAGTGGTTTCCAGTGGATTCACAGAATTGTACACTGTCAGCACAATCAAATGTCAGACTGTCTTCATCACCTCAAGAGGAATCTCACTCACATGCGAGTTCTCCTCTAATGGAGCACTAGTCTTCTCTCTGTCTCTATGAAACTGTGATTCTGGACATTCCACACCGATGGAACCATGAAAACAATAGTCTTCTTTGTCTGCCTTCTCCAACTGAGCATAATCCTTCATGGTCCATCCACATTATAGCACACATCAGTACTTCCTTCCTGTTGGTTGGCAAGTCATAGTCTATTGTATGGCCAGACCACATTTTGTTTACTCGTTCATCAGTTGATGTTGTTGTTGTTGTTAGGTGCCACTGAGTCAGTACCGACTCATAGCAACCTTAGGCACAGCAGAACAAAACACTGCCCAATCCTGGGCCAACCTCACTATTGTTGCCTTGCTTGAACCCATTGATGCTGCCACTTTGCCAATCCATCTAGTCAGGGGTCTTCCTCTTTTTCTCAGACCCTCCACCCTACCAAACATGTTATCCTTCTCCAGCGACTGATCCCTCCTGACAATATGTCCAAAGTATGAGAGATGAAGTTTGGCCATCCTGGCCTCCAAGAAGCACTCTGGCTTGACACTTGAGTTATTTCTACTTTTTAGCTATCATGGAAAATGCTGCTATGAGTATTCATGGGCAAGGTTTGTGTATATTTTCATCCCTCTGGGCCGTATACCTAAGAGTGCAAATGCTGGGTCACTTGGTGATTCTACATTGAGCATTTGGAGGAACTGCTAACATGTATTCTGTACCATTTTACATCCCACCAGCAGTGTCTGGGACTCGTTTCTCCCCATCTTTACCAGCCCTTTGCTCTTTTGTATTACAGCCATCCTAGAAGACGTGTCCTTTGCCTTTAAAAAAATTTTTTTCACTTCATAAGGACTCCTGGTGTGGCGGCTGTAGGATCAGCACTGGACTGCAAATCCACCAGCTGCTCCTCGGAAACCCTATACAGGGTCACTGTGAGTTGGAACTGACTCGATGGCACTTAACAACGATGTATATAATGTGCCTTTAAAAATATAGTCTTTAGTTTTGCTTGTTCTGAGCATTGTATGAGGGCATCATTACAGTGTGTAGTCTTATGGAACTGGCTTTAGCCACTCCAAATTGTGCTTTTGAGATTTTTCTATGCCAATGCCTAGAGCCGCAACTCATTCACCAATAATGCTGAATAATGTTTCACTGTACAAACCGCGGGCCCCTCGTTTCTCCCTCCTCCCATCATGGACGTTTGGGTTGTTTCCATCTGACCGCTTTGCCTCACTAGATGCCTCCTACTGCATACAAACTGGCATGCACCGGAGACATTGGAAAGCTGCCTCAAAGAGTGTGTGGGAGTTTGAGCGGGCAGGCTAAAGCCAAACTGCTTTTCAAAGTGACTGTAATAAATCACAGTGCCCCCAGCATTGTGTCAGGGAGAGCATTCACCTGCTGATGTCATGTGGCCCAATGTCTTCATTTTTGCTGATTGAACAGGTGTGAGTGGCAGCTCGTGGTGGTTCTGATTGGTGCTTCGCTGAGTGCCACCAGGCTGGGTGTCACTCTTAGGTTTAACGGGGAAGTGGTCCCTCTTCTGAAACACCCACATTCATGTTTTGCCTTTTTCCTATTGACTGAAAGGTGCTCTTTACATATTCTTGGTATGGATCCTTTGTCAGTTGGATACATGGCCAACACCTTGTCCCAGTTTACGGCCTGCCCCTTCCGTCTCTTCATTATGCCTCTTGCTGAAGAGAAGTTCATTTTCATGTAGTCTAAGGGCTCCATCTTGTGTCATAGTCAGCTCTTCTTGCATTGGGCTTCGTGATTTCCTCTGTATCCCAAGGTCAAATCCATCTGCTAAGGATTTCACACTTCCGATTTTCGCCTGACCCCTTGCGGGTTGATTTTTTTCCAACACTGTGAACCTCTTACCATGGTGGTGCCGTGGGCAGTGCCCATCTCCTCCAGGAGGTAGGGGACATTCGTACAGGCCCTAGTCGGGTGTGACTTACAGATCTACTTTCATTCTCTCCAAGCAGAAAACCAATTTTCCCAGCTTGGTGCTGCTGTAGGGTAAGCAATGGACTGCTAACCACAAGGTCAGCAGTTCAAACCCACCAGCCGCTCCTCAGAAAACTAAGATGAGGCTGTATGCTCCCATAAAGATTTACTGTCTCAGAAACTCTATACAGGGTAGCTGAGTCCCAGTCAACTCGACAGCAGTGGATTGGGTTTGGATTTTGGCTTTATATATTGAATAATCTCTCCTTTCTGGTATGAAACTCTGCGTGTATCAAAGTTCCTGTATACTTGTGAGTTAGTTCTGTCCCATGGTCAAGAGGCGTGGCTTCTTGCTGTTGTTAAGTGCTTACAAGTCAGTTCCAACTCACAGCAACCCTGTGGAGGGTTTCTGAGAAACAGCTTATAGACTTGAACCACCGACCTTCTAGTTAGCAATTCAGTCCTTATCCTACAGTGCCACACCAGGACTCTTAATCCCATCAGGACCCTGATCCAGTGTAAGGGAGATTCACAGGGGTGCGGCCTGCAACACGTTTTACTTAAAAGAGATCAAATGAGAGAGAAGTGAGCCAAGAGAGGAATCTATTATCACCAAGAATGAAGAGTCAGGAGTGGAGTGGCCTTGAACTTGGGGTCCTGCACTGAGAAGCCCCTCTTGTTGTTGTTAAGTGCCATTGAGTTCCAACTCATAGTGACCTTGTATAGGGTTTCTGGGGAGCGACAGGTAGATTTGAACTGCCAACCGGGAAGTTAGCTGTCCAGTGCTTATCCTACAGCGCCACACCAGGACTCCGGGCATGGCTGGGCCTTCATATTGGTACCATATATCATTTTCTTGGTCCGATGAAATATGTTCAATGGTTTGAGAGCATTTTTGCATTACAGAGGTAAGGTGGCTAACTGAATTATTTATCAAGAGACTTAAATTTTTCTTTTTGCCCCCAAGGATAAATGCTACCAGTACTGGCCAGCAGAGGGCGCTGTGACCCATGGAGAAATAACCATCGAGCTGAAGAGCGATACCCTGTCCGAGGCCATCAGCGTGCGAGACTTTCTGGTCACCTTCAGCCAGGTAGTGTGGTCAGGGCTGTTGATGACCTCACAGACGGGGCCAGCTCCAGCTGTCCCGGCTTTGGTCAGCCTAGTGCCCCGTGTGCCGGTCGGCTTCCCCGCGCCCCCGCCAGCTCCCCGCAACACACACACACACACCTCTTCATCACCAATGGTCCATGTGTTTACGGGAAGTCACACTGCTAAGTGCAGGTCCCCATGTTACTTGGCTTCTGGCTGGGGAAGTGGGGTGACTCCAGAAGGCACCTCATGGGCTTCCCTGCCCCCACTGAGCACTGAGAGAAAGGCAGTCAGCTGGGAACCGGGAATACAGGGGCGAAGGAAGCACAGAGACCCCAAAGGGGACCGTCCACCTTGGCCTCCTGCCCTGAGCTTGGCCAGGATCCCCACAGCTCGGGAAGCAGCTGCTCTGTTGACGAAAATGTCCAAATGAGGCAATACCTGTCGGCCTGCCCTGGGCTGTCTGAGCTGTGGGCGACAGTGCAGGGAGGCAGTGGGTCCCCGGTTTAGGATTAGGGGCAGAGGGTTCTAACTTCACCTGACTCTAGTGCAAGGGAGGGTGGCTGATGAGGAATGTGTTGAGGGCCCAGGCTGGTTCAGTCCTTTCAAAGTGAGGGCCAACTTACATCACATGGAAAGGCAAGTTGGCCTTTGCCCTTATGTAGCTGGTAACCGGGGACCACAGACCACCATGCCAATAGAAAACCAGGACAGTGAGCTCACCCCGAGCCTCAGACGGTGAATGGGGTCCTGGCACCCTTCTCTTGGGCAGCGCTACCGCACCCTATAGACGTGCAGATAAGCACACGGCCAGCATTGAGTAAGGGTGGGCGCACATGAAGTCAGCCTCCCGCGGGCCTGGAGGACGGTGGGTGGGGCCAGGCCGCGCTGTGACACCTACTTTCCTCGCAGCCGCCGGCCCGCCAGGAGGAGCAGAGCCGCGTGGTGCGTCAGTTCCACTTCCACGGCTGGCCCGAGGTGGGGATCCCCGCGGAGGGCAAAGGTATGATCGACCTCATCGCGGCCGTACAGAAGCAGCAGCAGCAGACAGGCAACCACCCCATCACCGTGCATTGCAGGTGAGCCCCGCCCCATCACCTTGCACTGCAGGTGAGTCCCACCCCCACCACCTACACTGCAGGTGAGCCCCGCCCCATCACCTTGCACTGCAGGTGAGTCCCACCCC